TTGCTGACCCTCCATTTTACTAAGCACCATGTCCTTCTCCAGGGACTGGTCCCTCCTGATATAAAATGTCCAAAGTATGTAAGAAATCTCACCCTCCTCACTTCTAAGAAGCAATCTGACTGTGCTTCTTAATTCAGTGTAAATAATTACCCCCCAGCATTTATTTTCTCCAGTTTCTACTCTTGTTAAATGCTGTGCAGCCGGTTCCATCTCATAGTAACCTTGTATGGCGTTTGCAAGAAGTGGCTCATGGTTTTGAACTGCCAACCGTGTGGTTAGCAGTCCAGTGCCTTCTCTTACAGCATTCCACCAGGACTCCCTCCATTCCTGCTCTTTGGAATGTATAATCTTGTGGAGGCACAAGAAGACATGGAAGGAAGCAATAATTAATGACAAAGCTTTGGGCTGAATTGTGCTTAGTAGACGCTATCTCTGTAGGTGGGTAATTAATATGTATGTATCTAAAGGCTGCATTTTTTGCAAAGACAATTTCCTAAAGGAGTGGACTCATCTCCTTGTGGCCTGGGAGACTAAAAACAGAGGCCGTGGGTCGATGAGCACAACCAATAAGAAAGGAGCTTAGCACAGAAGCCAAGCAGGGCAGCAGCCAAGTCTGAGACCATAGTTGAATCGATCTGTCTGCCAAGGGAAGTTATGAAAACTTCCAAAACAGCATTGTTACAGGGCTGCATTGCAACAAGCCCGGGGTGACTGCCTTTGCAGCCAGCAGATGCAAATTATTCATTTCTTTGTAGATTAGAACTTAACTACAGAGCTAATAACCTGAGATTGATAGAACACACTTGTGGAGATGGACTTGTGTTATCAGTTTGGCAAGGAAAATGGTCACGATTTAGAAATCCTGCCAAGCTCAATCAGTGCTTGGTGGGTGGAGTCCGCTGTCTTCAGAGAAACAGCAGCTTGCATTGGTTTGGCCAGTTGATTGGGATCCAAGTTTAATGTCGTTCTGTAAACGTCCCCGTAGGGGGAAGACGCTTGGGTCTGCTGGACCGCAGACCCTGCTTTCTTGCTAAGTAATAAAACCTTCTGGGTTTCTGGTATTTTCTCCCTTATCTCCTCGCTGCCTGAGACATGGGAAAATTCACTTGTGAAAGCACAAGAGACACTGTGCATGCTGAGTAACAGGAGAAGTCCCTTCCCGGCAGCGACTTTGGATAATAGAACTGTGTCATTCCTTCCATGTGGCTGTCAGGGGCTTGAGGTTCTACGTGGCTTTTCTTAACACACAGAGTGAGTCCAAGTGCCATCTCTAAAGACCTTGGACTGCCTTGATCCAAGAGGCAGAAGGGATCCTCACATCTTTAATACCTCCAACCCAAGGTCCCCTCCATCCCTTTTGCTCAAGTTTCTATTGTCAAGAATTAGTGCACATTTGCTGTGAGACCAGAAGAAAGGAAGGCTGCCTGCAGCTGCCGTGACTGAACATTTAGATCAAGAATCCAGTTGTTACTGTTGTGAAGTCCCGTCAAGTTGGTTCCAACCCATAGAGACACTACAAAGGGTTTCCAAGGAGCCGCTGGTGCGCTTGAACCACCGACCTTGCAGTTCAAACAACTTTGCAGTCTGACGCATTAGCCCACAGCACCACACCAGGACTCCAAATAGACGTTCCTAGATCAAAAGGAGGGAAATCATACAACACATCTTCAAATCCACATAGAAACCGCATATAGTAGTAGCCATCTGTACTGGGGGCACCCCAGATCTGTTGCCCAGAAAGAATCTTTAAACTTTGAACCAAAGCTGTCCCTGTGAAGCCATTGTTAAATAACAGCTTAACCCAGACAATAACGGACACTTGCCTTGAGCATTGTGCTATTTATTAAAGAAGTATTTCTCAGAGTTCAAATTGACAGCAGTTCCTCTGGAGAACCTCAAAGTACAGGGAGTCTAAAGTAATGATGATGAAATGGTACTGGGGACAGCGAGAGACCAAGGAAAGTGCCACAGTGGGAAGTATGCTAGCGATGTCCTTGAAATAAGTTTGTGGGAATTGTGAATGGATGCATGTTTGGTCTTGTACATTACCATTGTAGAAGCTGCTGGATATCTGGGTGACTGTCCCATCCTATGGCCCTGGATTTCAGACTCAGAGTTGTTTTTATTGTGAAATGCTGTCGAGTTGGTTCCAACCGATAGTGACCCTGTACAGGGTTTCCAAGGAGTAGCTGGTGAGCTTGAACTACCAACCTTGCCGTCTGGCGCATTAACCCACAGCGCCACATCAGGACTCCAAGGATTAGAATAGGACTTGCATTTTGGGACCACCTCTGCTCTGTTAACTATGCCCAGGAAAAATGGAAATAGGACCTTCTAGAGTTGACCTATGGAGTCCTGGTGTGGTGCTGTGGGTTAACGCTCTGTATTGCAACGTCAGTTTGAACTGCAAGGTGAGCAGTTCAGGCTCACCAGCCACTCCTCAGAAATCCTATACAGGGTCACTATGGGTTGGAACCGACTTGGTGGCACTAAACAACAACATCATAGTAACTATTAATGCTGACAGGAGTCCTGGTGTGGATTCATGATCTGGACTGCAAGGTCTGCTTAAATCTCAAGGTGGGCTGTTCATGCTCACCAGTGGCTTCTCGGAAACCCTAATCAGGGTCCTTAAGAGTCAGAACTGACTCCACGGCACTTAATAACAAGAGCTGACCCATGTTGGAAGCCACATCTCCATAAACTTTTCTTCCTTGCAATTTCCAATAATTATGTTGGTACCCGTTCATATTGTTGTTGTTGTTGTTGTTGTTAAGTGCCGTCGAGTCGGTTCCGACCCATAGCGACCCTGTACAGGGTTTTCCGAGGGTGTAAATCTTTACGGGAGTAGAAAGCCTCATCTTTCTCCCGCGGAGCAGCTGGTAGTTTCGAACCGCTGACCTTAAGGTTCGCAGCCCAATTCGTAACCACTACGCTACCAGAGCTCCTCCCGTTCATATTATAAGCTACAAACTATAAGAATTCACTTCCCACTGTATCAACAGTAGGTCTAAAAGAGGAACAATAACACTAGGGAGGTCTGTACTCCTTAAAATAATCACCATTTGAGGTTAAAATGTCAGCATTTATTCAAGGGTCAAGTTCACAAGATCTAGGGAAGGAGGAGGAGGAGCAAGGGAAATAGGGAGGAAGTGGGATAAGTGATGTTACAATGACGGGCTTGCAGTCAATGAGATGGAAAAAACTGTGTGATTTATCGAATGCAGAACTGATGATCTTGTCTATCAACTTTCATCCAAGTCACAGTAAAATGTTTTAAAAAGAAGGGAAAACTCAAAACAAAACAACAACAAAAAAAACCAAGCATAGACTCCCATTGACCTGGAAATGAGAAAGAGAAGAGAAAGGGCTGGTTGGCCCAAAGTATGGTGAGACCTGGGGCTACCTGAGCCCATAGACAAGGACATAGCCACAGAGGTCTAGAGCTGAGAGTGAAGCATCCAGCTGATATGAAGGGAGGGAAGACGCACAAGAACACCCAAACTTGCAAACAGTACCCATTTTGACAGCCTCAATGGCTTGATAATCAGAACTTGACTAAAGGAAGATAAAAATATTTTTTGATAAAGGAAACAACTAAATTGCTACAATTTGATGAACTTGACCTATATTCATGGATGTAGTAGCTCAAACTACCAACTGAGAGGGAAAGAGTCTTCATATCGAGTATCAGTCATGTCCCCTCTGTACACAGGGTAGATAGGAACAGGCAACTTAGACACTGGATACCTAAAATGAGGGGATGATAAAGGCATGAAGTTACTGGCTTACAAGTTTTCAAGAGGTAGTTTAAGAGTGTGTGGCAAAAGTTAGAGTCCCCACTGAATAGTTTTCCTTTTGTCTAGATGGGTGTGGTGAAAAGAGATGGAGATAAGATTCTTATTATTTCAATGTTGTTGTTAAGTGCCGTCGAGTCGGTTCCAACCCATAGCGACCCTGTACAGGGTTTCCGAGGGTGTAAATCTTTACGGGAGTAGAAAGCCACATCTTTCTCCCGCGGAGCAGCTGGTAGTTTCGAACTGCTGACCTTACGGTTTGCAGCGCAATTCGTAACCACTACGCTACCAGAGCTCCTTAGTAAGTAATTATTATCATGACTAATTGTGACTGTCACAACTGTAAAGGTAGAAGTTTTGTAATAAAAACAGAGGAGTAGTTAATCTTACAGTCCAGAAATAGAGGACCTTAGGACCATCTAGGGAAAAGAGCGTGAGTGGAATGTGGGACCCTATCCAGAGATACCAGAGATGGAGACAGAGATGAAGACATGGAGAGAGAGAGCAGCTGAGGACTCAAAACTCAAAGAAAGAGAAAGACTGAGTGCTGGCAGCCAGGAGGCAGGCTTTCAGAATGTGTCCTTTGGTTGTTTAAAGTATTACATATTCCTGAGTGTTTTTGTGTACATCCCACCCAAAAAAACACCCAGAGGGAATAGAAGCAAATACTGTTGAATGATGATGCACGGAGGAGATTGTAATCATTGCAATGAAATGATAGTGAAAACCAATGTTCTCCCCTGTAAACTATCACTCAGTTCACAATAAAAACTTAAAAAAACCACTATGAACAATGTCCATTTTGAGACTCACAGGAAAAAGCTGAGGCTTTGTGCTCCATCTCAGAAACCCTCCTACGAAGCAGTTCTACCTGCCCTAGGCTTGTTATGAGTCCAAGACAACTCAGTGGAAGTGCTTTTCTTTGGTTTATTCTGACACTGTCTGAATTTGTTGACTTGAAAACCATTCAAAGATGATTGCTTGCTTTCCTATGAAAGCGTTTCCATGTCAGGGCACAGGCGCTGTCGGGGGGTGGGTCCCTTGTCACATGCTGAGTACATGTACCTTTGGCCATGAAGCCTAGCAGTGATCACAGATGTTGGGGCAGATGTTGGCAGTGCTACCCTGCATAGAAGCTCACAAAGGGCAGAAAAGGCTCCTCCAAGCACTGAAGCCTTACTCTTCCGGACTCTTCTTCCTCAGGTACCCGTTCCCCATGGTGTTCAGCAGCTGCAGCAGGAGGGACCTGGAGACCAGTCTGGAGAAGGGCATGGGGATGTGCCTCTTCAACCTGCCGGAAGTCAAGCAGTCCTTCGGGGGCCAGAAGTGTGGCAACGGCTACGTGGAAGCGGGGGAGGGCTGTGACTGCGGAGACCTAGAGGTAAGAGGGCCTTTTGCAGAATGTCCTGCTCCTCTCCCTGGCTGAGCTCGGGGGTGAGAACCTACAGGAGTTGTGCAGTAGCATGAACATTCTCGAAATGCAAGACCACCTTGAACACGTCTCCTAAACGAGGTGCACTCACTTGCATTTTAATTAGCTTCCGGACTAAGCTGTGTTGCTTGGTTTAAACAGATAACAAATCGTCTTTATTGAAGGGTACAATATTTCTGGGCAAGATGAGGCCAAGAACAAGAGAAAAGTGTTTTGCTTTGATTTTGACAGAAAGAAAGCCTCTGCATTTCAGCTTCAAATAGCTACTAAGCACCCTTTCTTTTCTCTGTGTAAGATCTGCTTCCATGGGTATTTGAATAAGCAGCATTCATTTTTCACCAAGGGCTGCTTCCCATGTTGAAATTCCACCCTTGCTGTCTGCTGCAGCCTCCTCTATTTGCAAAACCTGAGGCTCCCAAGGCCTCTGCTCCATGTCTGCTTAGCTTTCAGAACCAATAAGCAGGAGCAGGGAACATTTTTATCCAGCAAAGGACTTATTTAACCCTGGTCTCCAGCCTGTGCCAGGAACTGTCCTGGTTTCTATAGCATCCAGAATAAAGGGAATCAACATAAAAATGATAGTGGCCACTTTTCCATCTCTGAATAATCTTGAGTGGCAGAGAGAAAGACAGAACCCAGTGACCCTACCTAGGAAGCAAGAGCCTCCAAGAATCTTGAGGGGGTTTGTGTTTAGAATAAATCCAAGTGAGTCGTTTGTATTGCAGGCGTCTCTGTCTACATGTGGGATTTCCTCTCCAGAGCTTCTGCCAGCTGAAGTGGGAGACAAGTTCAAGGCGGGCTTAGCAAAATTAAGGGGCTTAATGAGGGCTTAGGAAGATGGTGTCTTGAAGGGTTATTGTGACGGAGGATTCTACAGTGAAAGGAAAATTGGACTGAGACCCTGAGCTTCGTGTATTTCTGTGTTCATTAAACAAGTCGTGAACACATTGGTCCCCATTGCTCAAGCCCCTTGTCTCTGAGGTTTTCCATACCAGCAGCAAGGATCCCTGCCCAACGGTTTCTGCGAGGATGTTCCCAGTGACGAGGTAGTGAAGGCACATAGAGGAACTTGGGAGTCATCAGTGGGAATGCATCGTCCTCAGCAGAGTATTGTTTTGTTTCCAGTGTACTGGGGGTGGGTGCAGTGTGGGAGCAAGTCTTAATTACAGAGTTCCAGATACCCTTTCTAGGATCAGTGGAGGAAAACTCAAAACCATCATGGAAGAGGGTACATAAGGGGAAAATTCCTTGGAAGCCATGTTAATTCCATTAGCTAAAATTACCCATATTTCTCTGGGGAGGCTAATGTTGACTTAAAACGGTTTCTCTTTTTTCTTTTAACTTTGAGTTGAGCTTCTGATAGTTGCTTATGAATTTGAATAAATTTGACAGTTCTTTTTGGGGCCATAACTTCTCAGGCTTTGAATGTCTTTAATAGTAGTCATTTACTTAACTGTCACCGTAGCATCATGGTCATCCAGCCTGTTCCTGTTACACCATGACCACCTCCATCCCCACCGCTCTGCCAGCATCACTACCGCTGTCACCAGAACCACCACTATCACCGCAGCCACCACTGCTATTCCCATCTCCACCATCATCACAGCACCCTCCCACCCCCCACCCCTGCCATCCCCAACTCCATCACCACCACCGTCATCACTATTACCTCCACCATTACCATGAATCCTTCAATCACCACCATGGCCACGTCTACCACCACCATGATGCCAGCCATTCCTTGAGTGTCTGAAATTCTGATTCTCCCTCTTACCTTCATCAGCCGACTTGGCGCTGACAGGGTGCTCCTACAGAGCATCAAATCTGCCTCCATGGGACTCCCAACTTGGTATTTCCGTCTGGGGGCCCTTATTTCACACGTTAATGATTTCATTCTTGAACTCAGTTCACTTCATCCAAAGTTCTTTCCTCCAAGAAATGTTGATTCGTGAATAAGTTTGTGCTTCATTCTTTTTTATAGTGTTTTGTTTTTTGTTTATTTGTTTGTTTTGTTTCTGAGATCCAAGCTCAAACTATGTAGTACGGTGACAGCCAATTTCCTGTTTCCAAACTCCATTGACAACAACTTTTTGTCAGACCTATGACCTTGGCTCTGTATTCCTCTACCGAGTGTCCAGGTCCTAGAGAGAGTCATGTTTGCATATCTTTGCATGCTATTGGTCCCTAGCAGAGCTCAGTGGGTGGAGAGTTCATGATTACATGGATAGGGTCAGCATGACTCCTGCCAGCATGGAACTGGACCCAGCGTCTGCTGTCTCATGCTCAGAGATAGACTTTAGTGTTTTCAAAAGAATGCATTCGAGTCTGTCCCAGTTCACTGTTACTGTGATAAGAATCTATGTCTACTCCCTTCAGTATGAAAATGACAATTAGACCATTTGCAGAGAAGTCTTTAATGGCTTCATTATTTTTTGTTCTTTGGAGATTTGATATTCATTGGCTCTCTTGAACTTTCTCTACTGAATACTAAAAGTTAAATTTGCCAGTAGAGCAATATGTCTCTTCTGATAAATATGGTACTTCAGAAGAAATCGATTCCAGGTAGTTAAAAGGCAGGCAGCTGCTGAACCCTTCCTGTCTGGGGCATTGGATTGATATCAACCATAATGCTGTCCTAACAGATCACACGTTCTTCCAGCTAGCAGGCCTGGAAACGCAGTGTTATCTTCGTATTTAAAGTCAAACGGAAGCCAGTAGCTTGCAAATATCTCTGAAGCTTCATTCTCTCCTAGTTTCTCTCTCACACATCAATTCCTTTGAAGTCAGAGTCTCTGTTGGGCTACATTTCCGTTTGAGCTGCTGCTGAAGTGTGGTGCTTAGGTGTTGGGGTTAGGGAGGGTGCAGTTCTTCAAAGACATGAGAACCTAGATGTAGGATAGCTGATTTAGCTTACAATTTCAAGGAGCTCTGTACTTTGCGTGACATTCACAGAGCCATTTGGACCATAGCGGCACAGCATTGCTGTACTTTTGAGGGCACTGAGCAGGAATCAAAGGAGCTGTGGTGGCACTGTGGGTTAAGCATCAGGCTGCTAACTGCAAAGTCACAGGTTCAGATCCACCAACTCATCTCTGCAGGAGAACGATGAGGCAGTCTTCTCCCACAAAGATGGAGTCTCAGAAACTTTAAGGAGTAATTCTACTCTGTTTTATAGTGTTGCTATGAGTTGGAAGTTGTTTTATGGGAACAGGAATAGACTCAACAATGCTTTGTAGCGGAACAAAATGACTTTCCAAACTCCTTAGGAGTAAAAGTCTATGAGTTAGAAACTCTTATTGCTGTACAAGTTACCACTAACACTTCTGGTTGGCAGTTTTGTCTTATTATTTATATAATGCATTCTGGATGTCTATAAAGCCCTTGAATGAATTTAAGATGTCATAACCGTGGATGTAAGTATCATAGAAACAAATGGCAAACACCAAGTGAAAGCCTAATTCTTAAGAGTGTGATGTAGAATGCAGTGAAGATGCAAGTTTCACTGTAAACCCCCTGGTTAATTACAGAATCTTGTTAATTGCATGTATGGTTCTAACCATACAGTCATTCAAAAGCAACACTTTCCTGAAGTAAACGATTGTACTTTACACTAGCATTGGCTTCACTGTAGGCAGTAGTGTATGAAGTCTGCAGAGCGCATCATGAGGTAAATAAAATAAAGGGATTTTGATAAATGAAGTATCAAAGCCTCTACGAACTCTTCTTTCTTCTGATAATTAATATCTTCTAGAATATTACACCCCAAGTAATTACGATGCTTTCAAGTACAAGGACTTCATAAATAGACTAGATAAATGTGTGCAGGCCTTTTGTTTAGAGCTGAGCAAAAGGAATCACTCTTGTGCTTCTTTTTGGTAGGAAAAAAAAAAATTTTAGCACCCGGTCTTCCTCCCGTGGAACCACTGGGGGGGCGGGGCGTTGGTTAATAGCACATAACTAACCATTTGTGCCACCAGGGCTCCTTAAAGTTGTGCAAGGTTGGCAGTTCAAACCCACCAGCTGCTCGGTGGGAGTAAGAGAAGTCTTTCTGCTCCCGTACAGGTTGGCAGCCTCGAAACCCCTTTACAGGGCTGCTGTGAGTTCAAGTTCACTTGGTGGCAATGTGTTTGTTTTCTTTTGTTAATGTATCTTTTAGGGGTCCTGGTGTGGCACTGTAGGATAAGCACTGGACCACAAGGTTGCTCTGAACTGCAAGGTTGTTGATTCATACTCACCAACGGCTCCCCAGAAACCCTGTGCTAGGTTGCTATAAGTCAGAACCAACTCAGTGACACCTAGCAACAATAACAGCGGGTTAAGCATTAGACTGCTAACCTAAAGGACAGTGGATCGAACCCACTAGCTCCTCCACAGATAGATGAGGCAGTCTGCTTCCCAGAAGATTTGTAGCCTCGGAAACCCTATACAGAGTTGATGTGAGTCTGAATGTACTCGAAGGTAGGGGGGTTGGTTTTATATGTCCTTTTAAATCGTTGAGTTCAGGGTGTGCCCAGTGATCCAGACAGAGTCCACTGCGCTGAGACAGGCATGGATGGCAGATGCCATGGCAGAAGCTCATTGCGCTGCTGAGGGGCTCGACCCGCGGTCTTTCTTCTGTCACTACTCTGTGTGTGTCCATGGGAGAATCGCCCATCTGTGGATGCTCCCGGGCACGGCAGACCCAGTCAGTTCATAAAGACTAGACAGAGGCTCTGCTGCCTCACAGTTGAGGTAACCCTCGGCCCGAGCCAGGCCCTCTCCCTCCTCCTTGCCTTCTGCAGCCACCTAAGGTGTGACATGGATGTACAGTGAGGCGTCTCTCCCCATGACCCTGTCTAATGGCTCTCATCCCCTCTACAGGAATGCACGAACCGCTGTTGCAATGCCACCACCTGCACCCTGAAGCCAGACGCTGTATGCGCGCACGGGCTGTGCTGTGAGCACTGTCAGGTACGCTTCCCAGAGCAGCTGCCTGACCTCAGGCCTTCCCTCAGGTCCAGCTGCTAGAACAGCCCAGGGCAAGTTAGCCCAGTGCCCATGGCCCTGAAACCCTGAAGGTGCAACTAGACCTCATGTTTTCATCGTCTTTCCAGCTCCATGGGAAACGCACATGTTAGTTGCATTGGGGGATATATGATTAATTTATGAGTTTGAACATCTTAGGACCTAGTGGGGAGCCATTGTTCAGTGGTTGCAGTGTGTGGATAAGGGATGAAAAAGTTTGGGTTTGGATCACGGTGGTGGTTGCCCAACATGATAAAGTTAATTGGTGTCACTGGATTATGCACTTAAAGATGGGCAAAAAAAATTAGTATTATTATTATTAATTTTTATATTAACAAAAGTCGAATTCAGAGCGCTGGGTCTGGAGGAGAGGTCCTCGTCTCCTTTCAGCAGCCATAGCCCCAGCATTCTGTGAAGATCTCCGTGTATCTTAGCATCAGTCGTTCCCCGGATTCAGGAGCTTTACACTCAGAGACCCCCGGTCCAAAGGACACACCCCACTCCCGCTTCTTCTTTCTTGGTGGTAGTTATTAAGTGCCACAGTGTTGACTCTCAGAGATTTATTTTAGTATCTTACTGTGTTTTCAGTGAGAGTTTACACAGAAAGTTTGGTTTCCATCTAACAAGTTCTCCGCCTGTTACTCAGTGACACTGATTACGTTTCCCACGCTGTATCATCGTTTTTACCAATTGCATCTGGTGTTCCATTTCCAATATTCTAGTTTTGCTCTGTCCATATCATCACACGTTTGCTGTAGGGTCACTGATGGCTATTTGCTCTCATGTGGATAGTTTTTTAAAGGAGTGCAGTACTCACAGGTGATATTTTTAATTTGATGAGCCAAATTGTTGTTTAAAGAGTGATTTGGTTAGGATTTAAAGTATAGCTCATGGAGAAAGTCTCAGGGAATGTGTCAGTCTCAGCTGGTCTAGTCAATCTGGACTTTTTAAGAATTTGAGTTCTGTTCCACAATTTCCTCCTGATGTATTGGGAACCCCCTCTTGTGGTTCTGATCCGAATTGTTGGTATTGGTAGTCGGACACCATCTAGGTCTTCTGGTCTCAAGGGTCATGGAGCAGTTAACTCATGTAAACAACTTGCAGCTGGAACCATTGGGTTTCCTTTCTCTTTTACTCTGGATGAGAAGAGACGATAGTTGTGTCTTGGATGGCCTCTTACAACTTCCCAGACACTACTCAGCAAACTTAAGTCGTAGAGCTTAAACTTTATGAACGGTGGGGGGTAAAATGTCAAGTTTTATAGGTGCTGATAGTACAGTCCAGGACTTAGCTGCTGAACCAAAGGTTGGTGGTTCCGACACACCCAGTGGCTCTGCAGGAGAGAGAACTGGTCATCAGGTCACCTAGACATTACAGCCAGGAAATCTCCATGGAGCAGTCCTGCTAGGCCAAATGGGGCCATGCAACAAAATGTTTCCCCACAATATAGACACATATATTTTTTGATCATTGGACCAAAAACTCAAGAGTAATGTTACACTATCCAGCGGTACGATGAGAAGCGCTCACAACCCTGTGTTGATAATGAAAGGGACTTGGATGCAAGATGCGTCTCTGTACTCCACCCCATCCCTCCTGCCCCCGACCCTGACCACCACCAGTCAGCTTCACACTGGGTTCTTCCTCTTGATCCCAGAAACATCTGCCTGCTGGGCTGAGAAACCATATGGGCTATTCAAGGGGTTTTATGTAAACATCTTGATCTTAATGTCCTCCTAACCGAAGGTGTTGGCTGACCCAGCCCAGCCAAGAGTGGCAGTTTTATCCATTGGCCATTTCTGCTTCCATGATCGCATTTGTTTTGGCAAGCGCATTGTTTGCCTCGTTATTCAGAGCTGAGATCTGACCAGAAGTAGGAGCTTGAGCTTTAGGTTCGAAGGCTCCAAGGGTGCTGTTTTATTCCTTTTAATTAAGTAGTGGATCTTGGCATTCTGCTTACAGGAAACGCCCACTTAGCTGCCCCACTAGGGCATGGTGATTCGACATGCATTACCTCTTACACTCAGCTTTGAAATTGCCTTTCTCCCCTTCCTAGTTGGGACTCTAAGGTGAAGCTGGCCCTCACTGGTACCCAACTATCGGGGACCTGCCTCGACAGGGAAGTTTGGTTCACGAAGTAGGGAGATCTGGCAGCAAAAGAGAGAGAGAAAGAATATACACAAAGACGCGACGAGAGAAAAAAGGAGACACTCTGAAACCAGAGTGGATGCAAGACTGGCAGGCAGACCCTGGATTGCAGGCACCGTGGCCCTGTAGGCAGTAATGCATGCAGGATTCAATCTGCATCCGTCTTTTATTTCAGGGAGGGATTTTACACGAAGAAGGGGATTATTAAGACAGGGTACAGAAATGAAATGTGATTAATCGTTGAAAACAGGACACAATGATTTACAGGAACAAATTCTAAAATATACATCGCAAATTGTCTTAATAATCTAACATCCTTAATTTTCCAAAAATTCAAGCAAACTTACAACTTACTTTTTTGGCTCAAATCCTAAGGCAGCGACTTGAGGTTTCTCAAGGCTAATTAACATACCTATAGCGCTTAATCTCTAATGGGTAAAGGTGAAAAGGATTTAAAAGGTCTGAAGAGAGTCAAGCTGTTTCAACTACCTGGCTTAGGCTTTCAGGAGGAAGGAGCACTTCTGGGTTAATGGTTTACACCTGGGGACAATTTGAGGAGGTTGTCACTATTATTCCTTGAACAATACTCTGGAATTCGCCAATCTACTTTGAGTGAATTCCTTGGGCGGATTGTCTCCAGACACTCTTTGCGGAATCCCAGCAAACCTGCCTTTGGAACTTTTACGGCTTCGGCTTTAGAAGAGGTTTTTGTTTTAATATTTGTCCATGGGTATCCAGGGCTCATGTATTAAGGTAATATCAAACATAACTGAATAATTTGATAAAGAACAGTTTGGACATGCTTGCCAGGTGGCCAGAGTTTGTTCCTCAGAGAGATTTGTTCCCAGGACCCTACGCACTGCCAACACAGTGGAGACATTAAGAGAGGCACATAAGAAACCATTTTCTCAGAAGCTACAATTACTGGAGTTAGAAGCATAGAATGAATAATAAGACCAAAAAATATTATTCAGAGGTAGCCCACCAGTGAGTTCATAAAAGCCTATGAACCCGGGACGTCAGGAGGACACTTCCTTGGCCCTCAGGGTCCATGTGAACCCGGGACGTCAGGAGGTCACTTCCTTGGCCCTCAGGGTCCCTGGCTAGCAATCCTGAGTGGGGCCTTCGTGTTGGATTTTCATCCATGACATAGGGCCTCATCATCTCAGTGCTTGCGGTCCCCAACACCCAACAGCTGGTGGCAGAAAAAGGCCTGAGAGAGGACTGAGGGGCAAGGGGAACATAGTGAGCGCTTTACTAGAGGGTGCCCAAGGCAGTCAGGGTATGACTCCTTTACTTAATGACTTTTAAACAACAACTTTCAACTTCCAGACCTTTCAATAGAGAGCCAGGAGTCTGGTTTCATGCCTTCAGACTTTACAGGAACGAAGCCTAGGGTGGGGTAGAGGCACACCAGCCAATCAGGGGCTGCTGGTGGCTTCCACCATCCCTTACCACTCCCTTGTGTCACTTTGTTTCCGCCTCTTCCCTTAAACTACTAGAGACTGTGATTTGATGACCAAGAAAAAGCCCTTCAAAGTTGCTTTGTTAATCTCTTCCCAAACAATTGCATTTTTTTCCTTTTCATTTCTTTTTATTTAAACATTATCTATGTTAGACTTGAAATTTCTGAAGACACCATTCTGTGGTCTTGATCCTGGTTTAACACGTCCAGCACTTGACATGCTTTTCTTTTTTTTTCAATGTTTTATTGTGAACTATGTGATAGTTTACATGGGAGAACATTAATTTTACTTTCATCCTATCCTATATCGTTTCATTGCCATGGTTACAGTCCCCTCCATACGTCATCAACCAACCAAAGGATATACGCAACAAGCATGCCCCCCGGTTGTCAGCTCACAGCCCCTCTCCCTTTCTGTGTCTAAAGTCTCCAGCCGCTCCATCTCTCCACGTCATTGTCTTTGCCTCCTTCTCAGGCATCACTGCTTCTCTGGCCAAACAATAGCATTTTGAGACACATGATAATATTAGGGCCTGAGATGCTTTTCTTCAGGATCAACAACGCCAGCTGCCTGTGCTCTCATCCCTGCCTCCCCTTCCTCAGATGGGCCTGCAGCCAGCCTCTGTGTGCTTCAGAAAAGCCTTAATGTTGCAAGAAATTACAAAGATGCTCCCCTGGGTTGTCAGCCATAGTGGGACAGGGAGTCCAGAGCCCAAGTGAGCTTTTGCGTGTTTGTTGCGCTCCCTCTTCTGCGGAAGAGGCTTCTCTTAAAAGCCTGTATTAGGGACCATGCTTCAGTTCCACCCAGAAGTCTGCCCCCCACTTCCCTGCAGGGTGCTTGGCCTGAAAGCCCCTCTCCTTTCAGCTGAAGCCCGCGGGAACAGCATGCCGGGATTCCAGCAATGCCTGTGACCTCCCAGAGTTCTGCACTGGGACCAGTCCTCACTGCCCAGCCAACGTCTACCTACATGATGGCCACCAGTGCCAGGGAGTGGATGGTCACTGCTACAACGGCATCTGCCAGACCCACGAGCAGCAGTGTGTCACGCTGTGGGGGCCAGGTATGTGGTGGGCGCTGAGGAGTGAAGGGCCCCGCTGAGCAGAGGGTGTGGGGGAGACTCTGAGCTGTGAGGTGGGATTGCCACTGGGCCCCACTAAGCAGAGGGTGTGGGGCCAACTCTGAGCTGTGAGGTGGGGTTGCCCTTGGGCTCCGCTGAGCGGAGGGTGTCGGGGAGACTCTGGGCTGCTGGCTGGGGAAGCTGCTGGCTGACTCTGTTAGAGACTGTCAGGGAGCCTGTGGGCCGGGTGGAGATGCTGCATTTCTGAGGCTCTCACCGGAGTCTCTGGTCTAAGAAGCTTCCGTGGAGTGACCTAGTAAGAGCTGTGCATGGTTGGGGCCAGAGGTGGGTACAAGTGCACACCCCAGAACTTGTCCTAGGGAGCTCAGGGCAGTCCACCACCAGGTGTGCAAGCACCTGGTAGGTACCCCTGGGGTGACCAAGCTGAGTCAGCCACAGTTCATACACGCTGTTCCCATGGGCTTCAGCTGAAAGGAGAGAGCTCCCAGGGCAAGCCCCCTGCAGCAAAGTGGGGAGTAGACTTCTGGGCTGAACAGATTTAAGGTCACTTGGAGTCCTGGTGTGGCACTGCAGGTTAATGCGCTGGACTGCGAAGTTGGTGGCTCACCAGCCACTCCTCGAAAACCCTACCCAGGGCCGCTGTGGGTCGGAACTGATTCGATAGCACTTGCCAACAACATGAATACAGCCTCAAGTGAAGAACAGAGTTTCAAGGAAGACAGAGGGACACATGTCCCACCACTACTCAGACTGTGGGAGACGCGTCAGTTGTTCTCAGGAGACCCTATACTACAGGCTTCAGGACCCAGAGATGGGCAATCACCATGGCCACAGAGGCCAGAGTGGACTCGGTGTATGAGGGGAATGTTGGCCAGGGAAGCATGGGGACAAGTCCCTCTTGGCCCAGGCAGCAGCGAGAAAGTGTATATGTGAGAAGGGGTGAGCTGGGACCCCAGAGCTCTGAGCGGGATCTGGACGGTGTGTAGGGACTTGAGTGACGTTGTGATCTAAAGACAGAGCGTTGGCATGCTGTGTGTTCCAGAAAGAGCAGGTGAGAAGGTGGCCAGTGGAAGAAGAGCGGTTGTGATGGGTCAGTGTTTGTTGTGGGAGGGGGTAGGCCTGGCACCATTGGTGTCTCTGACCTTCTGCAACCCTAACAGACGGCTCAGTGGCTGTAGTCTGACAACGGGACAAACTGAAATTCTGGGATGGGAGGCCAGCTCCCCCATAGGACGCAGAGCTGGGATTCCACCTACCACTGTGGCAACACACGTCACCCCCATAATGCACGGTGACCCCTGAAGACCAAGGACTTGAAAGCTCAGGGTCGAAACAAAAAGTGTCTGGAGAAAGGGAAGGACCTGCCCCTGTGTGTGTCTCCTCAGTTTTTCCATCCTTGGGGCCTCTGAGGCTGCCCAGGACCCCAGCCTTGTTCCTCTGAGTCATCACCCCAAGATTCACTTGGAACCTACTGTTTGTCTGTTTGCAGCTCCAGGGATTCCAGCCCCACGAAAGCATTTTTTGAGCATGGGGATCCTGCCCCATCCATCTTGAATTCTCTTCCATTATTCCCTTACTGCCACATGGCCAATTCCTGAGCTTGTTCCTGCTCCGCAGCCCTGGCCAGGCCATAGAGGTCACTTAGGCCTACACCCGTGTGGGGAGGGATGCCTGGAACAGACCTCTGTCAGACTTTTGTGGGGTTTAAGAGTCAGGAGGGAAGCAACCCTGAGCAGAAAGCAATAGGAAACCGCAAAGCTCAGGTGCTGCCAATAAAACCAAGATCGCAACAAAGCAAGTCACATGGTTTCTAGCTTCCCAATGCAGATAAAAATCATGTTTACGCTGGAGTGCAGGCTGCCAAGTGTGTGATAGCATTATGAAAACGTTTCGATATCGTAAAAATGACCAAAATGTGGCACCAATGTGAGCACAAGCTGTTGGAAAAGTGGCGCTGGTGGGCTTGCTTAATGCAGGGCGACCCCACCCCTTCAGTGTGTGAAAAAACCCTCACAATTTCCAGGTAACATCAGGGTTACACTTAGCAAGGAGGACAGAATGGACATTTCTTGAGGTGGGTCCAGCTGTGGAGCCCACTAGAATTGTCAGTGCAGAGAGGCCTCTCAGAACACGGAGCTTCCTTACATGGGAGAAAGCACAGCTTTCTCAGCTCTGTGGGTGGCTTCACGGATGTACCCAGAGGCCTTGGGTTCCTGGGACCTTGACAGCAGCCTGCCCTGGGTGAGGCCCTCCAGCCTAGGGTGGGGTCTCAGGACTGCTGTTATGTGGCTACCTCCAGGTGACAGACAGGAAAGAGGCCCTCAGAATGCATGTAGTACTGTGGGCTCAACTTGGGTTTAGCTTCAGTCCACTGGGAGCTGAGTGAGGTCACTGCTGAGCCAGGTCTGCATGCTGGGGCTCCCCTGCGGTGGTCCTCAGTCCCCTTCTTGAGTTACAGGGACTGTAACTGATGTTCTCTTAGGGAGAGTTTGGGGTACACTGAGCGTTAGGGGTGGAGCCTGGCCCTCTGTGCCCTGTCCTATTGCCACATCTGACCTCATTTTCAAAATGAGGTTAGTGGGACTCTGCACGCTCTCTTAGCCCTGCTCCTGTGTGACTCAGCCGTGTCATGAAGACCAAGGCTATGTGTAGGGGTTTGGGTATGTGTGTTTGAACTTTGTATGTGATATGAGTGAAAGTTTACAGAGGGAATTGGTTTTCCATCCAGCATCCATCCCCGTTTCTGATCTGGGGCATTGAGACATGGAGTCCAGACTCCACCTGTAACAGCAGCTTCACACGTCCTCCCTTCACCCTTCCTTCCTGTCCCTTCCTGCCTTCCGCACTTTGTCTCTGGGTAAATGGTGCCCTGTGGTATCATGTGGCTGACGGCTCTAAGGAATGACGACCTCCCTGGTGCCTTGTTCACCTTATAGGCCTATCAGACCTGTCTGAGGTTTGGCTGAAAGTTGAGTTACAGGGATGGATGAGTTCGGTTCCAGGACTAAAGGGTATCTACGACTCACCAGTCCCCATCGGATCCGTAAACTTAATCTCTTTGTATGTTGTTGTTGTTGTTAGGTGCCATCGAGTCGGTACCGACTCATAGTGACCTTATGTACAACAGAATGAAACACTGCCCTGTCCTGGGTCAACCTCACTATTGTTGCCATGTTTGAGCCCATTGATGCTGCTACTGTGCAAATCTCTCTCCCTGGGGGTCTTCCTCTTTTTCTCTGACCCTCCACCTTACCAAACATGATGTGCTTCTCCAGCGACTGGTCACTCCTGACAATATGTCCAAAGTATGAGAAACGAAGTTTGGCCATCTTGGCCTCCAAGGAGCATTCTGGTTGCACTTCTTCCAACGCAGATTGGTTCTTTTGGCAGCCCATGGCACTTTGAATATTTTCCTCTAACGCCATAACTCAAAAGCATCAATTCTTCTACGGTCTTCCTTATTCACTGTCCAGCTTTGACATGCATATGAGGTGATGGAAAATACCATGGCTTGAGTCAGGCACACCTTAGTCCTCAAGCTGACATCTTTGCTCTTCAACACTTTATTTACAAAGGTCTTGTGCAGCACATTTGCCTAATGCAATATGTCATTTGATTTCTTGACTGCTGCGTCC